TTTTTTTTTTTCTGCGGCATAGTTGTCCTTTAAATGTGGACAGCTGGATACCTGTCATTACATCGAGTGGTATTCTTGAGGGGGAAAAAGCCACCAACAAAACCTCTGCAGAAAGTATTCTGAAATGCATTGTACAAGACCTTAAACTTTGAGGTTAGGCTGATAATTTTTAGTACTCTCATTCCCTGGCTGCTCGCTAACACACAGACACATATTTTAAATTTAATTTTTTTTTTCAGTATGAAATTTCTTATGCATTGCTTAGGTGTTTATAAGGAAAATAAAAAGGAGGGGACATTCTTTCACTGATTTCGGGGGATTGTGGGCAAGACTTCTGAAGCTACCTCAAAATGTTAAAAATATAGCCAATATATTCTTCCCACTCCTCTTTTTTTTTTTTTAACCAAGAGATGCTAACCTGTTTCTTGAACAATCACTTCCAGATTGCTAAATAGATTAATAGATTTCTTAATCAAAGTCTTTATTAATTTTGTAAGGCTGCATCCAAGTAATAATTATCTACCCAGCAAAAACTAGCTTGGAGAGGCTACCTATTGCAGCAGCAGCAATAGAGATCTGTTTTCTGGTATTCAAATAAAAATGAGCAAGAGTGGAAAATTCATATAAAAATGGGGGGGGAGCGGGGAGGCTAAAATACTATAGAAAATTATAAACAGGAACACTTGGAAACTCCAGGGCAGAAGTCAAGTCTGTGGCCCTCTATGTATTACCATGTATCACATATAATGAGTGAATGCCTGGGGCAAACTGTCTGATTGTCCCCATCTTCCTGGCAGCCCTAATAACAAGTGCAAGAAAAGAAGGTGTTTTAACCACGAATACAGCAGTGGAGCCTCAGCTCCAGACAGTGACACTGGACAAGCCGCAAGGGAAGTTGTTTTGTAACCTTAGCTATGACAACTGAGAACCTACAGCTGCGGCAGTACTTGACTTGGGTCTGGATCAGACTTAGATTACACCAACTATATGCAGCAAACAGTTTTATTCATGCCTGGCTATTACAAATAAGAGTCCCTGCCTCCCTACCTTTTTCCCTTAGAGAAAGAAAATCAGAAAGTATTTTTGCTCCAGCACTGCCTGGAGGATCTATAGCAACATGAGCTTATTTATGACCCATCACTTCTACGCAAACATTTTCTACTGTGTCAGACGAACCGTTTATTATGCCATTTCTCTCTGAGGTCTCAACATCATCCATCACCATAGTCACCTACCCTGCTCCTGCTCTGGGCCTTTGCATTGCACGGGGATCCATTGGTGCGGACACCGGGAGTCTGGGCTGCTGCTGTTTTCCATTTCATCACTCTTCCATTACCACTTGGCTTGCCTGGAGCTGCCAAGCTGTTGTTAAGGCTTCAGTGGGGCACCTTCTTTATGAGCCTTCCTTACCAACATCCCCTTAATATAGGAGATGCCAACCTGCCTGTTTTGTGAACACCTCACCTCCTTCTTTCTTTAAGAAGAAAGGGGTGGAAGTTTCCTCCCCTGTTAAGAATCGTGCTGCCTTCCTGCCCTCCCCTCCAAGCACAGGTATGGATACCTTTAGCCTGAAGACTCGGATACATAGATTTTTACCTAACCTTTCTTAATTGCTGCAGGGAAGAAGTGGGAGTGTAAGCAAAGGTGCAGTTGCCATCGTAGCAGCAAGGGAGAGATGGCTGAACTTGCCAGGAAAGTCACAAGGGAAACCCAGCATTAGATAGATCCAAGACAGATCTAGATTCAAGACGAAGATATTTAAATGTAATCACTTGCAGTGGGAACATGTTAATATTACCCTAGTTTGCCAGTGAAGTTTGTCCAGACCCAGCTCCACGTGGGTATGTCCTCCTCAGACCTTCCCAAAGGATGGGTCACCTAGTCCACTTGAGTACTTCTATGCCTCCAGTAAGATTGTTCATGCATTCTTTTTCTGTGTTTCCAATAATTTCCCCTCCCTTTTTTGGTTTTTAGGAGGTGAGAGTTTGTAAACAATACACAGCTGTAGCTGTAAACAAACTTGTCTGGAAATTGCCTTTGCTCTGGGGAGCATCTGGTAGAAAAATCTGTCCCAGTCTTCTCTTCCCAGTCTCTCTGCCAAACAGCCTTTCTCTCCTTGCTCTTTATCTCTAGACCCTGGTGAGGAGGGGACAGGGTTTCAGTGCCAGAAAGGGAAAGAAGTGTTCCTTTACCAATTCACAAAGTGCAGGATTGTCAACATATAACCAAGGGATACCTTGCTCACATGCTTGGTTATCACCATCTTCACCAGCAGTGGTGTCAGGATCCTAACAGGGTCAATTTTATGAGTAGCTAGCCCATGCTTTTGTATGTTATGGAAATCATATTCTCAAATGCATACATGTATATATACTCCTAGGGCGTAGGAAAAGGCAGATGGTTGTAATAGTTGAAGAAGCAAAAAGGACTGGCTTCCTCACTAGCTAGATGCATACATCATTAGAGTATATTCTTCTATTTCCTTATCACCAAATTAAAATAACTCTGACCAGGTAACAGAGGGGATTCCTATACTGCTTAGAAATTTAACTGGATTTTCTCATAATATGTTGCAACGACATTACAAGCTAAATGCCCAAGAAGTTACTAGAATGATGGGAGGGTAAGTTATGAGTATGATCTACTACATAATGTAATACAGGACTCCATAAACCCATAATGTCATTTTCCTATGAAACTGATACGTAATTTTAATTTAAAAAAAAAAAAAAAGAAGGATCGTGCAGATATAGCAATGACTGCATGACCTGCTTGGTTACGAAAGGTCAACTGTAAAACTTATTTGGACATGCCCTCTAACTTCCATCCAAGATCAGTGATTTGTGTGCAAAGTAGGAGAAACATTTTATTATTCTCAAACTTTTGTAACTCCGATCATTTTCTTATAATGGTTAAAAAAATAAACAAAACTTTTTATTAACGTGCTGTCCTGTCCCCTGCATTTTCTAATCTAGTGTGTCCCCAGCACCACTGGAGATCCACATGCTCATTTGTGCTTTCCTACCTGGACACAAGATCCTTTGTAAGGTGACAGACCCCGTTCTCCAGGGATGCAGACCGCTGCACGTCTCCTTAGCTGCCGAGTTTAGTGGCAGTGAAATCCACTTTCATTTTGTATTTAAAAACTGGCATCAAATTTGCAAATGGCTTCTCTGTGAGCTGTGTAGAGAGGCACTTTCGAAGTCGCAAAGTGCAACATAAACGACTTTCAAAGGGAGATGGCCATGTATTTTCCCTGTGCCTTGGCACGTCTGCTGTCAGCAAAACACCAGCCCTCAGCGCTGGCCCATCCCTGCACAGGAGCTCCTTCTCAGGCATGGCTGAAGCACTGGTTCGAGGCACAGCAAATTCTGCTTCACGTATCAAAATAAGAGGAACAGAAACAGGGGTGGGTGGGCGGTGGGAAGCAGAGAGGAAGCTGCAGAAATGTTTGACTGGAAGCATGAGTCAGGGTGTTACGAGATGTATGGGATTATCATAGTTTACATAGTGTCCTCATTGCCAAACAACCACGTCAAGTCCCCGGTACAGTGCTGGCAGTGGAGAGGTCATGAGCAGCAGGACAGTAATAGTGTTACAGTAGCACGGTGTCCTCAGTCAGAGGTACCGGCCCGGGAAGGATCTCGCAACCCCTCAAGATGTTATGGTTCCTGCAACAAACAGCCTCCAATGCACTTTGAAGCACGACCCCACATGCAATTGTCACAAGTAGCACTGAGAAAAGGCATTTTCTCTCTTTCTTGTCAAGACCATGTTCAAATTTTAATGGACTCAACCAAAAACTTCTCCTGGAAAGAAATTTAAACCTGGACAGTGCCTGACACTTGTGACACCTGACACTTGTGAAGTTGGAGCTTCCTCATCAGTTCCATATTGTATTTATTTGGCCCATTTATTCCACAACTTCCAGAAAATTGTTTCACCGCTACCTGTAGATGAAATAGCGAGGACAGCGCTGATCCAAAGCCTACCAAAGTCAAGGGAGAGATTCCCACTCATTTTTAGTGTCTTTTGCATCAATCTAACTCTCCAGGAGAGCTGCTGGGGCCAATCTTCTGCCCTTGGTAGCGCTCCAATTCAGAGCAGAAATTGCTGAGTTACAGAGACAAGTCTTCTTTTTTTATTTTTGCTTTTTTTCTTTATTTTAGAAGCAGCAACAGTATCTGGCTTCCAGCACACAGCAGACTGTCACACTGCTCACACTGAGACAAGAGCCTGCTCGACTCCCTAAGCAAACCTGCTTCGCTCTGCCCGTGAGCGTGCATGTAGGCACCACGCGGGCGCACGCACACATTGTTCAGCAGAAGTCACACTGCGGCACACGGATCTCTCCTGATCTACCTGAGGGCCTGCTTCTCCTCACACAGTCAACAGAGAGGGGTCACATAAAGGGAGCAGGTCACTGGAAATGATCCTGTGAAGCATTATAAGCCTTTCAGCTCCCCCTTCCTCTCTCCAACCTCTATGCTAAGTAAACTCCACCTAGATATTTTCTTGTTTTTACCAAAAGAAGCTATTATGGTTTAAAAAAAAAAAAAAAGAAAAAAAAGAAAAAAAAAAGGAGATAGGAGACCTTAATACATTATCCCTGAGCAGACAGATCAGATACTTTTAGAGCAGAGCAATAGCACTTCTCCCCTCCCCACAAGTGCAGTCAGCACATTTTATTTCTTTTTCTCTCTCTCTCCCATGTTTATTATTAAAACACGTCATCACCCTCTAATCACCACTGGAATTGAAAGTAACTTTGCACAGGAGCATTCTAAAATTAGAGAACGCCGATTAAAATTAATGCAAACCCAAAGTGCTGTGCTGTAAAGAAAGCACGGCCAACAGATGAGCAAACGCAACCCATATCTGCTAATTTCACACTGCTGATACTTGATTTTTAATTTTTTTTTTTTTTTTGTGGTTCCCTCCTCTAAGAGCAGGGCTGCAAAACCCACCAGCCCGGGGCTCTGCTGAGGCCTTCTCCTTACCCCATCCACACAGCAGGAGTAGTCCCATCCAGGAGCCTCCTGTTTTTCCGCTCTGGAGGAGTCACGGTTTGCTTCTCCCTGCAGCAGCCTCCCTGGGCGCCCACTGCCCTGCTCCACGTCCTGCGGACAGCTGGGGCCAGCCTGGGGGGCCGGGGCATCGTGGCGACGGGACACAGCCCTTCCTGATATAATGGGAAGGCCGGTGCCAGCGCCAGCATCGGTCCGGGCGGGATTCCAGCGCGGCGGCCGTCCTGCACCTGTCGCAGGGCACCAACCGGGACAATCAGCTGCGCGGCTAATATTAACCACCCGCGCCGCCGGCACCAGGGAAGCGTGGCAGGGTTGGGAGCGTGATCGAGGCATAGAGCAGCTTGTAGGGAAATAATTGTCCAGCTCGGCCTTTAGTTAAAAGGAAAACAAAAAAAAAGAGTGAATATGCCACCGGACTGATAACCTGCCTGGAAGTCCCAGGGCCCCGCGCAGCCCTTTCCCGTTCATCACTGCTTTTATCTCCAGCAGTGGTTTTGGTCCTTCCACAACTTCCGGCCACAAATACAAAAGGATATATTCATATTTACTGTCTCTGCTACCTCGGCACCGACAACTTCAGGTCCTCCAACAGACAGAAGAGAAACGCCAGGCTGAGCTTCAGCCGTGCCGAGGGTGACAGTTGCACGATCGCACTACTTAGTGGCACGCTTTGATTTGTGGCTACTGGGAAAGCACCACAACAGACAGTGCTGTTGCATACAGCAAGAAGGTAAAATAAGCTAGTGCTGTAAGTGACTCATAAAAACCAAAAATCAAGAAAACCTTCCCGCCCAGCATAACCTGCAATGATAACATAGCATGTTAATGTCCTGCTTAAAATAAAACACCCCCAGAATTGGGCCACTTTTTTTTTTTCTTAAAGGAATTTTTGCAGCGCTTCATTTCCTCTGCTCCCTGGATATTGCAGGGGTCTCCAGGCGCCAGGGGACGCAAAGAAGACATGCGCTGCAGCAGTGATAAGCACCAGAGGGCAGCTTAAATACAAATGTGAGCTCCAACTCCAAATTCTCTAACCAAACAGTTTACAGCAGATCTTCCACAGTCCTAGCTGTAAGCTTCTTTGATGTATCCATTTTGTTTCGATAAAATGACTATGTTCAAAATGAAAGGGATGGAAAGCAAGAGCTGCAAGGTCCTGCTTTCTGCAAGACCTATCTGGAGGGAACGGGACCCAATGGTGGCAGTGTTTGTGGAGAGATATAGGTGGGGAAACTCTCGTACTGGGTTGTGAAAGGTGTAAAGTCTTACTGCTGGCTTTGTGCTGGCTGGATTGTTATTTTAAACCATGTCAGGGACCAGATGGTGCTTTTTAAAAAAATGTGATTATAAGCTAAAATTTAAAAATACACCAGAAGCATTTGTGAAACTGTACGAAAATTAAAGGGACAAACACTAAAAGTAAAGGTAGAGAGATCTTGGCTTCTGAAGAAAAAAGCTGCTTGAAGAAAGATAAAATGAAACTGGATGTTTCCACTTCTGCAGTACGTGGGAAGCTCCCTAGACAGCTAAATTAAAGAGAAAATGTGACACAGCTGAATCCCTACATTCCCCTTGCATCCTCTGAGTAACCTCTTTGATCCCTGGGGAAAAGAAACTTGATTAATTTCCACAGCCAAGTCTCTCTTTTGATAGTAATATATAGATCAGGCCAAGATCTGGGCAGGTTCTCTCCTTCCCTACTAGCTGTATTGTTTGTTTACCCAACCAAATCAAGATGGGCTCACCAGACTGCAATAGCCAAATATTCTCTACTCATTCCCTGACTAACCATTCAAGTCATTCAGTTTAAGAAAAATGTTTCAATTTAGCCAGAACATCTATCTTTAGACTAAATCTTTAAAACAAATATTTAACATTTAAATCTTTCAGACAGCATTATTGGTAGATTTGGAAAATTCTCTTTGTATTTTACAGCCTTTCAGAGAAAAGATGTCAGGTCATGAAAGCTATGTAATCCAGCCCACTAGAGAAAGGAACATTTCTCTTAAGGAACGTGGATTCAGATCCACTTCTTCCAGCCCTTATAATACATACCAAACTGGAACATGGGAAGCCTGCTTTGTCCTGATGTGACACAATCTGTGACCACGTGCAGCCACCTACATAAACAAATAACTTTAATTGTTCTTTGCTTTGTTTGGTTTCTGTCAAAGGCATTAAGCTTACTGAGGAAGAAAATTACAGCTTTCCTTAAAAGAGGAAAGCGCCAGCCATCAGTTTACTGAGGGATGTTTGTGGCTGAGGCATGGGTTGCGTATCCATTTCAGGAAATGTGTGTCCTTAGCTAGACTTCTCATTGCAAATAATTCAAGGTTAAGTGAAGACCAAATCTAGCTGCAAAGTTTGAGTGCAGGTAAGAGACTATTTCACCTCTAAGCGTATTGGGATTTAGCTGTCTGCTTTAAGCTTGTGTTGTATATGGGACAATATGCCAGTATATGCCATTAGAAGGTAAGCATATCAGAACAAAAATTGGACATGCAAAGCCATATTCTCCAAGAGAGTTATAATAAACAACAGAGAGATTCGGGAAACTACTTATTTCTTTTTCAGTCTCAGCTTCCAGCCCTCTGCTTTTTGGTCTAGCAGCAAGCCAACCATTCCTGCAGGCACGGTGTGTCCCCTTATGGCCACCAACTAGCTGTAATTCAAGAACCTGAGCACAGCTGGTATCATCACTCAATATTGCGCAAGCACTTACAACATGAAACAAGCTGCTCAGACTCTGGCATGAGGCTAGTGTTGGACTTGGATGTGCCTGCATGCAATTCCCATAAGACATTTTACCTGACTATTGAGTTTTCTCACGTATATGTTGATTTTTTTTATGGTATCACAGATTTTCTAGCAAGCGTATGGCCTCCCATGATGTTGTCAACTTAGCTTGCTATGCACTATCACAAGAATCAATATTACAATAATGAGAGGAAAAGCATTTTTTAATCCAGCTCCTCCAACCACTGTACTTTGAAACGTACACCCAAGGATATGAGAGGGCAAAAATAGATACGATCAGATCCACAACAGTTGGACACTCAAAAGCCACACTTGGCTTCTGCCTTGTTGTGGAGGTGCCTCCAGTTTTCACTACAACTGTTCCAAGTATCTGTAACTGGTTGTACTCAGTTGTACTTCGTCACAGCAGTACTAAACAGCTAGGACTGTATTGAAGATTAGGCCAATCAAGGTCACAGCTTGGTCTCTCTTTTTTTTTTTTTTTTTTTGCCAAAACACCTGGTGGTTAGATCTGTGACCCAGTATATGAAAAAAATACGTTAGGTTCCCTTCCCTGTCTGAAGGGAACTGAACCCAACAAAAGGCCCTGCCCACCAACTTACAGCTACAAAGCACTCTGAGGGAGATGTCTGCAATTTCAAACTGTTGCTATTTTAGTAGAATAGGTAGAATAAATTCTTATGAATAAGACAAAAGCAATATGCAAGTTTCCAGCCGGTCTGTATATACAGGGGAATATTCACATATTTCCGCAGCAGGACTTTAACTTGGCAGAATACCTTAATCACTAGACTAGAGGCTTATTTTTGAACTCTCTGTCAGCCAGCCTTTAATTACCCAAAGAAAAATTTGAATGTTTTGATATACACGGATCTATTCTCATCTTTGGTTACGAATAATCATCAAGGTTTTGTTCTGTTTCAGTTTTTTAAGTATATCAGTTCATCTGAAAAATAGCAATACACACAGTTCTCCATCCGGTGTGCAGAATGGTGTGTGTGATGTGCAGGGCTGTGTTGCGAGAGATAAGGCTGAGCAGTAGCTCCTCTGAACTGCTCGAGTCCTGAAGCGAGATTTCCAGAATGTCCTAGCTCCATTCCTACAGAAGTCTGTAATTATGCCATCTCTACCACTCTGGGGAAGGCTGGATTGATCATCAGGTTAGCACAAAATTAAATCCAGGCCAAGCCTTTTGTGACAGATTGGCTTAATGGTTTCTAAAATAACTCCTCAGGACTTTGCTGCACCTACTCTCAGAGAAGCAGCCCCTCACTATATCGGAGTGCAGTGCTGCACCGGGGGTAGTAGTTGTGAACACACAAAAGCAGGGATCTGTCAGCATCCTCATACTCCCTTCATTAGGTTTCAACATCTCCTACAACAGTGGACGTCAAGGCAAGAACCTAATCGCACAGTTACATGGGCCTGTTACTGAGATATCTTAAAAGAAATTTATATAGCATGAATTGAAGCGACTGACAGAGTCATGGAAGGGAGACAAGCATATTCAAAACTACACTGTGTATTATACCTGCAGATGAAAGCACATCTCCCAAACAGCACAGAAGTAAAAAGCTCCAATGCTTTTTGCTTGCAAGCCCAAATAGAAAAAGCATCTCTGAGTCATGCAAAAATACAGTGAAAAAAATATTTTAAGTCAGAAAAGGAGTTTAGGAAAGTGTAAGGCATCTCATCAGAGGAAATTCGTATCATGCTATGCAGAGTATATTCAGACCCTAGACCAGGAACGCAATACACTTAATTTTTATATACTTTTTGACAGGTTATCAATGCTGTGTCAATGGCAGCAGCATTATTGGCAAAGGCAGCTCCTGGTTCAGCCCTGTATTGGGTACTGCTTCGCAGCAGCTCATGTAACTCCCACGGCACAGGTATCACCTTTTGGAAATCCCTGTGCTTGACAAAAACTTTCCCAGGCACAAGCTTGTGCTGACCACAAAAAGGTCTCTAAAATTTCCCACCAATTAATACCACAGAATCATGATTAACAGAATTGCTGATACGTGAAGGCAGGGAAATGAAGATACACAGGCAGAGAATAGATATCAAAACTGACAAAAAATTTGGGGCATGCAAGACAAGAAAGAGAATGGGTGTTGAGGAGGTAACACCGGATTGTGACCTGATTTGTAAATTGTGATGCAGCATAGGGGGGAGAAATGATCCTGTGGCCTCACATCTTTGCTTTTCCAGACCAACACAGCTTCACCAATTGCATCTCAGCCACCAGGGACTTGTGCAACTTCTGCTGTTTGACAAGAACCTAGCTGTGCTGATGAGCTGACAAATCCAAAATGCCTCCCGCCCCCAGCCCCTGCTGTGTGCCAAATTGCTATGTGTATGCTTGTGC